GTACAAGAAAAGTAAAGCAAAGGCAAAAAAAGATAAAAACGTACTAAACTAATATACCCTTGTTCTAAAAAGTTATGTCAGCTCAAAAATCAAAATCATGATCAATGTAATAGAAGCCCCCATATTTGAATACGTAGAATGTCCAATAAAATCAAGAAGACTAAGAATTTCAATAAGCAATAATAAATGTATAAAGATCTATGAAATTGTTGATTAGAATTATTTTACCTGTTCTCATCAGGGTTTTTTTCAAGAGGATGGCTTCTACCAATTTGCAAAACTGCAACAAGATGCAACCAACTGGAGGAGAAAGGATGATGATTCTCTTCTGTTTCTATTGACTAAAAGAAAGCAGATATTGAACGAACGTCATCAGGACACGCATTAAGGGACATGGTCCAAAGGTATATAAAAAAGAACTTACCGCTGAGGGTCAAACTTCCATAAAAAAAATGGAAGACCCAAACCAAAATGACTAAACTTAAGTTACACAAAAAAGGGTGCTACTCCATGAATTGGCGCTTGGGAGCGTATACATATACTAAGATCAAAAAATGCACATGTCCTCCCCCATCTCCTACCCCCAACCCGCAAATTTTAATCATTAAAAATTTATCTGAGACTGATCAGGACCCTCTAAAACGTCAAAAAACGAAGTTAGAGCTAGTTAGAGTTAGTCTTTTTCTCCGCTGCCAGTAAACCGATTTTCAAAAAGTACGGAGCTATCCTTAGCATAGCAGTAACCTTGGGTGAAAATTTCATCAAAATCCGAACAATACTTTTCAAGTTATAGACGGTTATAAAATAAGCGGACAGACAGACAGACCAACGGAAATGAGTGACATGGTTTGTCGTGATTTACATGTCATGTAATATCAAATAGTATCTCAATTTCATAATTTTTTGCGATTACCCCGACCGTTTTGGCATAGGCAGTTAAAATGATTCGTCATGTAATGGGTGATTTTTTTGCTAGCATCTTTTTGGCAACACTGTTTTTGACAGATGACGCGTGAATCGTGTCTTGTGTCATTGTCAAACTTGTTCAGTTTGGTCTATAATTTAACCATGAATCGACTTACGAACGAACAACGCTTGCAAATTATTGAATTTTACTATCAAAATTCATGCTCGGTTAAGAGAGTGCATCGAGCACTGCTTCCAATTTATGGGCAATTTGGTCGGCCTACTGAGGGAGCTATTCGGAAGCTTGTGACTAAATTTCGAACCCAGTTTACATTATTGGACATTAAACCACCAACACGCAGACGTAGAGTGAGGACTGAAGAAAATATTGCGGCTGTATCCGCCAGTGTTAGTGATGACCGTGAAATGTCGATTCGCCGCCGTTCGCAGCAATTGGGCCTCTGTTACTCCACTACGTGGAAAATTTTGCGACAGGATTTGGGTGTAAAACCTTATAAGATACAGCTGGTGCAAGAATTGAAGCCACACGACCTCCCACAACGTTTCCAATTGGTGAATGGGCGCTGGCAAAGTTGGAGGAAGATCCACATTTTTATCGAAAAATTGTGTTCAGGACGAAGCTCATTTCTGGTTGAATGGGTACGTTAACAAGCAAAATTGCCGCATCTGGAGTGAAGACCAGCCAGAAGCATTGCAAGAGCTACCAATGCATCCCGAAAAAATCACTGTTTGGTGTGGATTATGGGCCGGTGGCATCATCGGGCCGTACTTCTTCAAAGACGACAATGGCCGGAACGTAACTGTGAATGGCGAGCGCTACCGTGCGATGATAACAAACTTTTTTTTGCCCAATGGAAGAGCTGGACTTGGCTGACATGTGGTTTCAACAAGACGGTGCCACATGCCACATCGCACACGAAACAATGGCCCTATTGAGAGGCGAGTTCGGTGAACAGTTTATCTCACGTTTGGGGCCCGTCAATTGGCCGCCTAGATCGTGTGATTAACGCCGTTGGACTATTTCTTGTGGGGCCATGTTAAGGCTAATGTCTACAGGGATAACCAGCAACGATTGACGCACTGGAAGCCAATATTGAAGCATTTATTCGTGAGGTACCGGCCGATATGTTGGAGAGAGTGTGCCAAAATTGGACCTTGCGCATGGGCCATCTAAAGCGGAGCCGCGGCCAACATTTACATGAAATAATAATCTTTAAACATTAAATTATATCGACCGTTCTATCGACTCAAATAAAGATTTAATCGTTTTTTCAAATTTTCTGTGTTTTTTTTTTCAAAATCAAATCCTATACCTCTTAAAAAATCACCCGTTACTTCGAATCTCCTTTTGGAATTTGGACACTGATACACCATACTTGGAGGATCGTATATTTTTATCTTTGCTCTCATTCTAAATACAGATCGGAAGGTTGTCGATTATCGATAGAATTTCGTTCAAAAGCATGTGATCTCGCGGAATATTCGTATCCTTCTTAATGCTTCCGTTGTTAGGGAAACAATCAGCTTATCGTCTGAGATTTTCATTGCTCTCATAACGATTGATGAATTCAAATGTTTTGTCAATGATAGGAGTGACGTCTCTGAAGCTTACTCGTGGATCAAAGTACGTTCTATTTCTAGTAACCCTCAACTGATGTTTATTAATTAAATGCTTCGTTTAGTAAAATAGTAATATCGACGTAACTGTTCTTTGATGATTTTTTTTAAATTTATTCGCGTATTTTCCATAAAATCATTCGTATCGTCCAAAACCAGGAATTATGTTAGATTAGATAGATTAGGCTTTATTGTTTATTAATCATAAATATGACGTGGGACTGGTCTAATATGCCCAAATAGTATACATATATTAGAATAAATTAAATTCCTATGCAACAAGTACGAAATTCTGAATTTTCACACTACTATCATATTTCTTATCCGACCCTGTTTCCAGGTATCTGATTGTAAAGCCACTGCATTTTTCCAGCATGAATATTTAAACTAATAACAGTAGGATTGAAAAGCACCTCATTACACATGTCGCTGTTTAATATTCAAATGTATGCGTTTCGAAACAACTCAAGCGCGTTAAACGGATTCGGAAAAAGTATGTCTTCTTGTCTTTCAACGCATCACGATGCTTATTAAAATCGGGTTCGTGTAAATAAATTCTGGCCTTGCGATACAGTGAGCTGGTGTGGATATACGGCATGTTACCACAACTAGGCAGCAGCGGTGGCCGCAGTAGTAGACTCTTCGGTCTTCTGATCAGTCGCCGTGCGCTGTGCGGTTCGAATCCCGTCCCAAGAGAACTTTTTCTCTTTTCTATGGCTGTTGTGATTGTCCGTAGGTGGGTAGACGGTCTCTGACTGTCGAACGCGGAGGTACCACCCAGCGGATCTCGTAGGCGGGGCCAGAATGTGTGCATGTTGCATGCACACGTGTTCCCTCACCAGAGTCCGTGTGGCGTTCCCCATTTCCCCTGTATCCCCCTATAGGCCCACAGCTGATTTGTCCCCTACTACGACAAAAAAAAAGCATCTTTGATGTACCTCGATCAAGTTTCATATGACTTTTCATTGGGATGTTATGAATATAATGTTTCGTATCCATTTTCAGATAAATCCACCAATCCCAAATCGCAAATAACTGTTACACTTCAAGGCTAGTTATTTATGGTTTGTAAATATGTAAATAATGTTTACTAGTCGGATAAATTAAATTATCGAAAAACTTACGTTTTCCCTTTTCTACAAAAAAAATACTCAAATAATGTACCACTTGGAGGTACTCGGGAGGCAGGATGTCATAGTGAAACTCACAGGCAAAGCGGATGCCGGCAAATGGGTCGGCTCAGGTCTTCTTGTCATTATGCCATTGGTCGCTCGGGGACACGCGCACATGCGCCTTAGCCGGAAATATTTAATTGAATATTTTGTAAATAATGGAGATTTAGTATTTTCCATTGATTGAAAAGTAAATATTTAATGAATATTATAAAAATTTAATTCAATAAAAACATCATATTCCAAATGTTTATTAAATATTGTTTACGATAACAAATACTTAATTAAGATAAAATATTATTAAATACTTATCGAATAAAAATATTTAATGAATATTTCGTGCTACCAAGGGTCCATCATTCAGAATGAGCCAGGAATATTAGTTCAAAACGATGCTCGTGGAATAAAAAATATCTAATACTCCTGAGCTATTCCGAATGTAATCCGGACTTCAACATATTCCTGCATCCGAAGTCGTCAACGAAAACCCTTTGGTTATTTTTTTTTCGATATCCTAAATAATAGGATCTTAATAGCGACTTCAAAGGTGCAACCTTTTTAAGATTATCCTGCTTCGTTGTTTCTGTTTGATATTTTTTTATGCTTTCATCAAGTAAACGTATTGTGAGGAAGATAAATAAAAGACGTTATAGTAAATATTCATTTTATTTTACAGTCCACTGATATATACACAACAACATGACCAATGTAACATAAATATTGAAACAAATTCCTTAAATAATACACAGATAGACAGCGAATAATGTACAATCGATTTACAAGTAAAATATTGCCAACGTATTCTGTAACACCCTCTATCATTTGAGTCCCATAGTAGAAGAATGTTTAGGTTATGTGCTAAGGGTTTGCCGTTATTCAAACATTTATTTTCTCAATTATTAACGCTGGCGCTTACGATGCATTTGTTACCTGGCCATACACACGACTGCAGTCGGTTTGCGATCATTACCATGTATGGCCTGCCTTAATACAGGCCCAAACAAATGCTTTATTTTGACGTTCTACCTTTGTATTTTTGAAAACCCATTCCCTGAAACCTAGCATTATAACGTCTATGTTCAAACTGAAATGATAGACGGGTACATTTTTTGGAAAGGAACATGCACAAGTCCTCTATAGAGAACATTAAATAAACTTACACCAAGTATGTACAATAATACTGTTCTCGTACAAAATATATGCAACTATTACACATACAGGTTAAAGGTCATTATTTATCACTACCGCGACTTCCGATTTTTTTTTTTTGATCAATAATTATTTCGACTATTCTGTATATACATTTTTCCATAATACATTTACGTACCTTCACTTTTAACGTCTAGTAGACATATTCTTTGGTTAGATTAATTATGGGCAGGTCAGATCTGTTTGGCGTCATAGAAAAATATAAAAACATAATAAATGCATTTCATTCAACCTTTAGATATTGTTAGAATATCACTTCTATTCCTAGAGATGAAAACAAACTGCAACCCGGCAAATGGAAGTGAGGTTATGTAAAATCTCAAACGTATCGACACTTGCCAAATGTAAGCATTTGTAGGTTATGACTACCAGCATACTGTCATTAAAGTCAATGTTTGCCAGATTGTCAATTGTATTTTTATTCGTATAGGAGTGAGATATTGACGCTCCAGTGCCCAGTAAAAAGGCTTGAAAGCGTTCTCAAGGTCAAACATTACAACCATCCCGCTTCTGATCTTTGACGTCAAACAAACTCACCGCATGTCATTGAACTTTATCAATGACTCGATCTTGAAGGTGGGCTAATCGAAGGTCCAGATGGCCTTGAAATAGATGCGTAAGGACTGAACCTATGGTGCAACGCAGTCGGAAACATAGCCTTAGGTAGCCGCAACTCCGCGGAAGTACTGATACTCGTTGGTGAAGGAGATCCAGAAGAGCTTGGGGTCGATGAGGGCGGAGGAGTAATTTGAGGCCTCATGAGCCCAGGATGCCACGAGGTAGCACCTTGTGGCCATAGCTGGCTCGGAGTGACCAAGGGGACTGTGCTCCGGTAGACTTGATGGCCGGAGTTTAACAAGAAAGCATGGAGTTCAGCAGGATTGTACGCAGCTCCTGCTCGGCCCCACATCTGGAGTTGGGCTCGAGCTTTCTCTACCATGGCTGCTGAGAAGAAAGAGGAAGCGTTGTTGTTCTCGGCGTCCAAGGGGTCTGAGCCTGTAGCTGAGTAGAGCCGTAAGGAGCTTCTCAGGAAGTGCTGGTCCATGAATAGGCTGTCCATTGGTTCCCTGAAACAAAAATAAAGATTGTTCAGCTCAAAGAAATTCTACAGCTCTAAGATTCAATGCAAAAAAGACAAGACTATGATGTACAGAAATCAGTTAAGTAGATGGCCTTGTAGTATCCGGATGCCTCATCAAAAAGAGGGGGAAAATTGTTGATAATAACAAGGCATTTGTAGCACATTAAAATCAGATTTCCCCTTTTGGTAAAGATGTATAATGAAGACGCCTACGTGTTAAACACCTGTGACCTCAGTATGTTTTACCTACAGTATTTCAGAGTACAGCGTGTACAATATGAGCCTTGCGTAATTTCCATTACATGTATCATTAATTCTGTCAAGAGATACGCAAAACACCTTCTGATTTCCTCGGGCCACAGTGATGAGCTCTTGAGTATAACAAATGCCCAAATTTGTATAATATTCAGAAGTTTAGCATCGTTTTGTTTTTATTCTCTAATCGATTGATGGGGGCCCAAATCAATCAGATCGTCAGATGGTAGTCAGCTGCTGGTGCAGATAATTATTATTTTCCTAGGTCCATTTCTTGAATCGGATACAAAAACCCTGACACCGTGACAGATCTGTCCAAAAACCAATGGGTACTATAAAAGTTTTGCAATATGACTTATCAAACGGTTGCAGGAGGTTGGATGTTACTGCATATCCATTGTCCATGAGTGCATAGTAGCCGCCATCAGCACGTCTGTTGATTTAGTTGTTCATTTATTATTGTAAAGTATCGTAAAGTAATGAGGAAAGGGGCAGTTTTGCAGTATAACTTTATGCGTGGTTTATGCATAGGCCAGTGCTTAGAAGAAATGACGCTTGCATTAAGAATTATTGTCCTCATCGTTCAACTATATTCAGGCGGTACAGTGAATTCCAAATTGGCAATTTCACTCTGGAAGACGCTGAGAGGGAAGGAAGACTGCTACATCAGTAACAGAGGAAAACATTACTGCTGTGAGGAAAATGCTTGACGAAGACCGAAGAGTGATATGCGAGCAGATAGAGGAGACGTTACACCTTCATGCACGAACACTTCATTCAATTCTGCATGACCCTTTACCTCTGGGTACCGCAAAGTCTGACGACGGAAGAGCAGAAGACTCGTACGACTTGGTGCCGAAAGATGCTGAAAATGTTTTGATAAGGGACAATCTCGGTATGTGAACAGCATCGTGACAGATGACGAGACTTGATGACAGAAAATCCCGATCTGTTAAGAAAAAAATGATGGCTGTATTTTTTAAATCAATCGGGATTCTGAGGCGTGTCGTTATGGATACACAGAAGACAGTCACAGCTAAGTGATTCATGGAACAATGCCTGCCTAAAATCATGGAGTCTATAAAAAACCTGCGGCCAAAATCAAGAATGGACACGTGGCACCTAAACCATGACAACGCTCCAGCACACCGCGTCAAAGCCTGTACCGAGTATTTGACCACCACTGGACTGACACTTATCGAACGTTACGGTCCAGATCTTGCTAAGTGAAATTTGGCTGAATGGTTCAAGGACTGTTTTTGGCCAATGGAGAAGTGTTGAATGTGGTGGATATTACTTTGAACGAAGTCAATAAATAAAGCTGTATTGCAAAGCTTTTATAGTACTTAACGAGCGTTCCACTGGCCTCATAGTCGACATATTCTCTCCATCTCACGCTCATCGAAGATAGTCTGAAGAATGTGTATTAATGAAATGCGAGAAAGTACAGTCACCTACCGAACGGGAAGCCCGATAAGGACAAATTTTCTAGAGCGATCGGCCTCAGTGGCATCTTGTGAAATATAACGAAATAAACGACATTTATGAGATCTAAGCTTCCGACAAAGGCCCCAAATACCTGTCTATTGCTTGCAGCCACACATTAAAACTCTCCTAAACCACAACAATTTCGCTTAAACGCCGGAACGGGCCGTCGATCTCTCATCTCCGCTCTACGTGATTGGTGGGCGTGCCGACCTGCAATCATTATCACCTCGGCACTGATCCCTCGCCTCCCGTCTCACTCTGACACACGCCTTCGCTATCGCTCTCTCCTGCTTCCTCTCGATATTATTGATTGTCGAGGCGTCAATTCGCGCCGGGCCCCCGCGCGCGATTGCTACCCGGTCCGGCCCTGTAATTACGACGGAGAGCCGACGGCCGAGAGGCGAGTCAGGGATACGGTGTGAAATTGGAGATTGATATGGGTCAGTGGTATGGCAGTGGAGAGGAAACTTGGGATTAAAGAACCTTCTAATATTTTCGGACGTTCAGTAGTGGAGCCAATATTGTAGCCATCGGCGCCCACAGGAGTTTTTTCTTAGAGGGGAAGAGCGATTATCAATGAGAGATAATTTTTAGTGAAAGTGTACCTGCCCAACAACTTTATGAAGAGCGCCGCCTCCTTTTACTTTTTATATGACCTCTCAAATTTGTATTTTTTAAACTCCCTTATATTGTCAGGGAACATGATAGTCCCTTTTTTCTGATTTAAAATTACAGGGTGATTCATAAGTCGTGAGCAAAAATGAAACATCATACACAAAACGGCATTTTAAGGGACTTCTATGTAACAGTCTTTCCTCGAGGGCTTCATTAAAAGATACGTTGATGTTTGAAAATGAAAAACATTTTTTTATATCTTTTTAAAGTCGTCCCATCCGGAAGAATGAGCCAATAAAGTGGTTGCCAATAATTCCTGCCCATACGTTAACCGAAAATTGGTGTTGGAAATGGGTTTCGGGTACGGCATACGGATTTTCTTCTGCCCACAAATGATTATTGTGAAAATTCTGGCATTTCGAGAAAATTAGCTTCGTCCGTGAACAGAATCATTGATTCAAATTGCGGATTTTGTGTAATTTTTTGAAGATACCACTGACAAAAGGTCACACGCCATTGAAATCAATGGGAAGTAATGCCTGTACACTTAAAAATATGGTAGGGATATAACAAAAAATCCACTAAAATTCTCCAAACAATTTCATGGCAAATATTTAAGTGTCTAGGGATCTTCCTCGTACTCGTTTCGGGTTGTTCTTTGATTATTACATTTATTTTTCTCGGACAATAGAAAGGTTTTTATTTTTTGCTCAAAAATGGCGCATCGAATGAAAACAATTCAAGAGAGATCATTTGTTTTAAATGCAACGGGAAATTCAAAAATAATTTTATTTGACAAAAAATCATTGGCGTACCATTTTTTTCTTAAAAAATATCGAAGTCAACACCCGTACGCACGCCACTGTTGAAGCTAAAAATTAATTTTTGTATTGAAAAATATGCAACGTTATTAACTTTCACTACGTGCTAAATATCAGTGAAATATCTGAAGCGGTTCTGAAAATATTAATTAATTTCCGAGTTTTTGCAAGGAAACATTTTTGGACCATAGCTTATGAAGCAAACTAACATTAATTTTTCATATAGATTCACACCCTTAAATATTCGCATATCATTAAGGAACACCCTGTATAGGGTGTTCTATTTAAATAAATACAACTTTATTCATTAGCACTTTTCTGAGACAAGCGGTATACAGAAAATATTACGTGGAAAAGTTTCCATATTAGATAGACCTTGTAACTTTTTTATACAACTTTTTCTCCTAGGTCATATAAAAAAGTTGGAGGGGGGGCAATTTATAGCCGGACACACTGTACAGCCGCAAAATGTGATTTACTGGTGATTTACGAGTATTTACGAGCAGCTGCAAGGATTTGTGATTCATCAGTAATTTACGATCGTTTACTGATAGATTCCACATATAGCACATATAGCGCTGGCGCATATCATCCCATACCCGCAACACGTCTTGCCAGATTGAGTGATTCATCTCAAATTGGAGTCTGTTCCCACCTTGCGAAATACTAGAACCTTTTTGACAAGCAATTATCAGCAGGACACTCACGATTTGGTTTGCATGTCGGTTCACATAAAGAGTGCTTGAGATCCTTAAAGTATTATTATGTTAGATTTTTGCCTAATCCTGGCAACCTGCCAGAAGCAGGGTGAATTACGATAATATTATCACACCGATGTTTCCTTGTTTATGGAGGTGTTCATGCTAAACATTACTTTGCAGTTTTACTAATATGTAGTACACTTTTTCAGTACATTTGTCCTGTCATTATTTAAATCCGTCGCTCAACCACAAGACAAATTGTCAGCGCCAGTATAATCACAGGAATAAACATTTTATAAATAAAATCACGTATAAGACTAAAACCTATCTTTAGTTTATATAGTGATTTATATAGGAATTAATAAGGATTTATCATGGTTTATGAGGATTTAGGGAATTTATTTGAATCGGTGAGATGAAGAACAGTACATGTCACAAATTGTACTTTTGAGAAAATCAATGAAAACTGTATTGTTTTAAAGCTGTTTCAGATACAATAGCTACTTGCATAGGAAAGTTCTAGCTCTTATTATTTCCGAACCAGGTAAGCACTTATTATTTTGAAAAAAGGTCACCTATTGAGTAATGCCTGCAGAGGGTAGTGGACTTGTACTGTTTTTCAACTCAAGCAAAAAAAAGGTGAGAAATTGGCAAAATTAGGCCCATTTTCACCACATTAATATTTGACGGTCCCTTGGACCAATGGGACAATAGCTTATCGAAATGCAATTTGACAGGAGCTGTCAAAGATCTCTAAATGTCAGTGATTTTTATTGAAATGTTGAATAAAGTCGTGAAAAAATGGTTGCCTTATTAATAAGGGTACATATAGATGTAATATTATGTCTTTGTGCTTTAGAATTAGGATAACTTTCATAGTATTTCCAGTTTCTCAAAAGGCAGTCAGTTATGTAAATGGACCAATCAAAATGATAGAAATAATTGGTCGATTTTCTATTTGGTAGGATATTTTCACTGTTTTTGACGACTGTTCATGCATGGCAATCTAGTTTTGTCTGTATATCAAGTACAGGGTGTTGTACAAAATACGTACCTGTAGAAATGTACCGATTTTTGTTATTTTGCAAAAACAAAACTATATGAAA